AAGGAAGAAAGGAAGAAAGGAAGAAAGGAAGGAAGAGTGTGAGAATGAGAAACAGAAAGGGAGACATAGGTGCCAGGAAGTAGGAGTGGGGCAGGCAATGTTGGAAAGAGACAAGAGTGGAAAATGCTTTCTAGTGGTCAGCCTAGAAGAGAAGGGTGCAAGATTGCCCAAGTGAGTGTTTTCCTCTGTTTCACTTCTAACATGGTAACTTGATACTTTTCTTCAGGATCTGCACAAAATCTCCTTGGGTTTTTTCCCCTCCTGTTGCTGTTATTGCTGATGGGACCAATAAAACAAAGAAGTTTTAAATAAACTGTAAATGTTAAGGTGGAAGATCAACTGTAATGTAGTTGCATCCTCAAAATTTCTATGGCTTAATCTACCCAGATTGTATCTATCACAATTAGCTTTTTGTGTGTATATGGCTGCTGATGGTGTATGTTTTTATTTAGCTCCTCAAGAGTAGTGCTGATGTAGCACATTAGGATGTCCCTACAGTTGCTCCTTTAAAATAAGAGATTATTTTGTGCTAGGGCTATAGGGATGGCATAAACCTGGAATTTTACCTCCTGGCCCACGTACATGTTCAGCCTGCAAGCATGGTTCATGCGGTATGCAGTCTACATTATATAACCTGTATCCATCTGCTCCTTGCTAAAAACTGCAGCTGCAGCAGCAGCATCAGATCTTGACTCAGTGTAGCATAAGAACAACTGTATTAAAACAAATTTAAATGCTTTTGCCACAGAATACATTTTTCATTGCATTTTCCTTGTTGTGGTTTCACCTGGAAAGTAGCTAAACAGCTGTGGGCTCAGTTTCCACCACCACCCTCCCCCTGTGTCCCCTCCAGCTTCTTGTGTCCCAGATTCCTCACTGGTGTGGCAGTGGGAGGACCTGAATATTCCTTGAGTTAGTGTAAACACCGCTTAGTAAAATCTAAACATCGGTGTTATCAACATCATTCTTATCCTCAATCTATCACTCAGTACTGTATCAACTAGGGCAAAAATTAACTCTGTCTGCAATAAAACCAGAGTAATATCCACCCTTTTTTCTGTATCATTTATGTCATGCCCAGGTTCCACTCATCCCAATTCGTCCTTCCCTGTCTTTTGATACATGCACACACATATAATTCCCTTAGTGTATGAGTCATCCCTCTAAAATGTCCATTGAGTAAAATTAGTCCATGGCTTCGGGCGTCTTCTATCACAATAAACCTTCAGGGCTGAAGAGATGGTGCATGATACTGGATAACATCCATGATAAGTGCATCCCTCATTTACAAACCCATTTGTACGTTACATCTCTTCCTCGATGGCCTAACATACCATAGGCCCACCAAGCTACCGATCTTCCTCGTTGTCTTCTTGTGATAGCCTTCTTTTGGAGCAGCCTGCTTCCTGATCACTCTTAGAGGCAGCTCCTTCATCCCTTATTAAATGTGACCACTTCTGCTTCCAGTATTTCTCCTTGCATACAAAGGCAGATAATACTGCCACAGACTGGTTCTCTGTTTCAGCCATGGACTCTGTCACTTTGCTCTCAGTCCCAGAGACCTTCCCTCCCTGTGGCGGGCACTGAGCTCTGTTAAACAGGGCTCAGTCAGCCTGGGCCAGGCCCCAGCACATTGCAGTGATTTGTGTCTCTGGAAATATCTGGTGACAGCTCGTCTTTTCCAAATATTTTAAGAATTTTTTCTGGATTCCGCACTTTTTCAGAGGTGAAGTTCCAAAACACTGGAAGGTGCCCACTGTCCTAGGTACTTGCTCATCCTACCCCACACACCCATAACTACCCAGCCTTAGGGCAGATCCCTGGGTGATGTTCTTGCCTAGTTATATAGCCTTACGTAAGACCTGAGACACATTCATGCATCATAGCAATGCAAAGGTGCTGGTTTGGACACGCTGGGGGTACTTTGCAAAAGCTGCTGTAACTCATCTGGAGGAGAAGGGAAAGATGGCAGAGATCATTCTCCGGGATGGCCCTTGGAGGTGTAGTTAGGTGTCATTCCCAACAGGTGGCTCCTGCCGTGCTTCTGCTTCAGTCGCGCCAGCATGCATCTTAGCGTATGAAAAAACCGCGTTACAGAGCACAGCAGCATCATAACCTTCACCCGGAGCTGAGAGATGAAACTACGGGAAGCACACACAGCCACTAAGGTGTCACATAATGCAACTCTGAGAACACAAAATAACGCTGAGATCAAATGAATCAACATTGTGGCCAGAAACTATTAAACCACTGCAACTAATTGCTTACAACAAATTTGTTTTAACATGTCAGAACAGTAGTTATCTTAATGCTTCACACCCCATGGGTTGGGTGCCAAAAGAGACTGTTGTGGTTTAACCCAGGAGGCAGCTAAACACCATACAAACCACTTGCTCACTTCCCTGTCACCACCCCAGGATGGGTAAGAGAACTGGGGAAAAAAAACCCATAAAATTCACTCGTTAAGAAACAGGAGGGAAACAAAAATAACTATCATTTAAAAAATAGAATATACAAAACCAGTAATGCACAATGCAGCAATGCAGATGCTAGCCACCTGCTAGCTGATACACAACCAGTTCCCAAGCAGTAGCCCCCAGCCAGCTTTATCTCTAGTTGATATTACTGAGCTTTATACTATATAGGACAGAATATCCCTTCAGTCAGTCACAGTTAGCTGTATCACCTGTGTCTCCTCTCAGCTACTTTTGTCTCCCAGCCTCCTCATTGGTGGTGTGATATGAGAAGCAAAAAAGTCCTTGTCTTAATGCTTAGCACTTCACCCATCAGTGTGTTATCAATATTATTTTCATACTGAATCTAAACCACAGCATTATACCATATACCAGCATGAAAATTAACTGGAAATACCACACAAAATTAGGACAATTGTGTACCAAAAGCACAATCTGACATCATGCCTTTTAGAAACTTCCCCACATTTTGCAGACTGTTTTAGTAACAGACAAAAACTTGAGATTTCAAAGTATCACATTGCTTTGTCAATAAATATATGTTTTAATAAAGTCTTTCTGTCAATACATTACCAGTGTCTGGCGAGGGCTTAGAAAACTAGAAAGACTTTTCCTAAACATAGAACTTGCTCTAAATAAAATACAGAATTTTTTTTACATAGTGAACAAACTCCAAATAAAAGCAGTAGCTCCTTGATTTTAAGAAAACTTTGGGGGAAAAAATGTTAATGTAATTGTTTTTTTAAAGAATTTTTATCATTTTGGTGAGATAAATAAAAGCATGATTCACTTCTGTAAAAATGCAAGGCTTGCTAATTAAAAAAAGTTAGATAATATGAAGAGGGAGGACTCACCAATAAGTAAATGAAGGGTTAGAAATGTAAATAGGTAGATAGATAAGGACAACTGAACATGCTAAATTTGATAATGAAAATCTATATATTACCAGGGCTTCATGGGCAAAGAAATGTATCACATCCGCTTTTACCAGTCCACTCATGTCAGAAGCAGTCCAAGTATTCCCATTGATGCAATGCAGGCAAAGCCCATTTGATAGCTGGGTAAATGTTTAAGCAGTAAGTTTGTTTTGGGCTCCCTGAAACAGAGGCTACACTCCTACTCTCAGTATGTCCATATTACTATAAACCCAGAGCCTGCACGTGACTCAGCCCGGGAAGAATGACAGATAACAAGAACAGTATTAGTGACATAAAACATAGGAATAGAATATGCAAAACTAGTGGCTAAAAATTTGCATGCAGTTCGAGGCAGAAAAGCTGCAGTGGCATCTTACTGAAACAGACATATAAATATTTGTTCCTACAACTTCCAACCCTCTTGTAATTCCAGGAGTAGTTAGAATCATTGGAATGCTGATATAAATGAGAGTATGTAGAGATCTAGAAGATTGGGTCCACGCCAGACTTTTGTTTTATTCAGAGGTTTGGCTTCCTGCCCTCTGTTCAGGCAATAAATTAGCTGTAACAGAGCTGCTTCTAGCATTCTGTTCAGTAGAAGTATCCCAGCAGAGATAAAACCACACAAAATAAGGTAAGCAAGAATGGTAGATTACAGTTGGGTTAAATAATTTAAGGTTATATTATCAGACTGTTTATTGAGATTCTATGAAATAGTGATTTTTTTTCAGTTGACTTTAAAGTTTTCCTAAGAAATCTCTTTCTTCATCTAGTTTATGTGCATTTTTGTGTATTCCTGTGTCTAGTTTAGATGACAGATTTTCTAAAGTCTGATTTGAAAGAGACTATTTAATTTCTTATTAGCTATAGGATGCCAAAAATTCTTTTTAATCCATTGTTAAAGTGGAATAAACTTGGAGGAATTACTATCTTTGCTAGCAAAACTGACAGCTGCAACCTAGTGTACTCTGACCCTGTAAGGATCTTAGACTTATCTTGTTATGGATTTATCAACACAGTATGAGATAATATTTGGAACATACCACAATATTAATGAACTCCAAAATTCTAAATGTTGTTTTCATGTACTGGATTTGATTTATTTAATGTTGTGATCGCATGTGTCTTGGGGTTAAATGAAAGAGAGAGTGATGGCTAAGGACCAGCAAAATCACGACGGGAGCAAGAGAGGCTATATAACAGATTTTCTTTGCTGTCCTCCTATCAGTGAATTCATATAATCTATGTAGTAGGGGAAAAAAATTAATATTTCCTCTGCTTTTAGTGTGATCTTGTAATTGACCACAAACAAACTCATTAGCTTCTTAGGAGTAGTTAGACTGTTGCTAGTTTCAGGAGTTTAAAGAGCTTTAATTCCCTTATACTTAGTTTAGATGCAAAATGAAACTAATGAGATACAAGTTTCCAAAACAATGGTTGACAGTTCTGCAGCCAAGAAAATTATCCAATCTCCCTAGTCCTCTTTGATGTATACCTTCTAGAAGAGAGAAGAGAGCTGAAGAAATAGGTATGAAAGATATCAAAATAAAGAAATTAACATAGGGAGACAGCACAAAAAAACTATGACAAAGAATGAAAAATGTGGGTATAGGTGACATGTATGTAAGAACATGTAATGACAGGAATGGTTTATTGAAATGGGAGTATTTATATGTCACTCAGTCTTAAGGGATATATGAGGCTATTTAAGGTATAAAAGCTTGTTTTATTTATTGTAGGGAACTTTAATTGTTGTGGGGAACAATTAATCGGTTTCTGGAAAGCCAACAGAAGTGAAATTCTATCTCAGATTTTTCTATTTTCTAATTGTGTAAAAAAGACAAAATAATCAAACTTCAGTGCAGTCCTTCATAACATCAAGGTTACCTGTCCATCATTCATCATGGAAAATTTCTTAAGAATTTATCCACTTCCTAAATATGTTTTTGAAAATGTCTTTGAACTGGCCTGCTCTCTTCAGGAATTCTTCAGAGTCCTGACTTGTCAACATTCTCCTTTTCTTACTGTTGTGAGTGTAAGGTGCAAGGCTCTGAACATAGATCAAAATCGGGAATTAAGATCTTCAGAACTTCTGATCAAGAGCAGTCAAAATAGAGTTACACTTGTTTTCAGTAGGAAACTTGAGTAAATGATTGTGATTGTCTGGTTTTGAGCCTCATAGACTAGCAAAGTCCTAATGCTTTGTTAATGAACACCTGGAGACTTACATCTCTCAAGTTCCAGAAGGCAGTATTACTGCCCACACATACCACAGAGCCCAGTTCAAGTGGAAGTTTTCAAAGACCAGGTTCCTAGTGAAAAAACGCAAAGGATGTTTTCTTTTGCTTAGAATGCTCAGTGATAAAGCAGTTTCAGCAAATAAGGAAGACTCAGCCTTTTCTTTCTACCTCTGACTGCAAGTTACCATTCATGATATGAGCTCTATTTACAAGGAAGAGCAATCCATATAATAAGTGATTTACTTTTCAGTCATAGAACTGAATGTTGTTATAACTAGAGTTGAAGAGAGTGAATAAGTGCCTTAGTTATCCCTTTTAGTCTAGTTACAAGAGAATTGCCAGGAACAGAAGTGTTTCATTTCATGTAAAAATTTAATATGAAGCTTTGCATCAGGGAAGTGAACCAAACCAGAAAAGAGAACTGGGTGAATTTACAAGCCATTATACTTGCATCAGAGCCATGATCTCTGTGGTCTTACAGATATTTAGTTATTCTGTGCAAAGTGGCATGGGGCTAAAATTATACCCATCTTCACTTTTTTCATTCACCAGGATACCAGACAGAGATGAAGTTCATTGTTTTCTTTGGTCTGCACTTTCCATAAACACTTGTCATAAACAGATGACTAGGAGAGCATGTAGACTTCAGAATTTCAGTTTCCCTTTCTTTAAACCAAAGTAAGGTTCTCAATTTTTCTGAAATGCAGTGATTTAATTTGCAACTTCGGGATACTTTAGTAGCTGCCTGGGTGGTTTCACCATCAACATAGTTCACATTCTTAGACATCAACCTCTCCTTCAGGTATCTATCCTAACTGATGTTCCTTAATAATTCTAATATATTCCTCAAATTTCCAAATTCATGTCCTCATTTCTAAGGCAAGATTTCCTGAACCTTGGTTTAAGATTGTAATATACCTGCTTATACCTCTGAGAGTCAGATTGTGGTGTTTTGAAGTTAGCATCATTTTCAATCACTTATGAACAATTACCTTAGACTGTATTCACAAAATTAATTTGATTGTCCGATTTAGTTAGCTATAAATAAAATAAAAGTTATAGTTAGCTATAAAATAAAGCCAGCTTCGTATGATTGACAAACACAAGCTGAAGCCACAAACACTGCTTATATCTTATCTATTCCTGCAGCACAACTGTGTTATCCATGTTAGCAGGCATCTTAGTGGAAGTTTAGATAGTTAACTGAAATGCTATCACTGGAAACACACTGGTTTTGCTTTGTAAGACAAAGGCTTAAGTCATGTAAGCAGTCAAACATTTATTGAGTTTATCTACTTCCATTAACTGTCATTTATCAAAATTATATTTGAAAGCTTGTTTCTCAATGGAAACACAAAGTCTTGTGACAAATTCTAACTCCTACTTTAGGACTTGAAAAGGAAGTCAGCTGAGATCATCCTCATCAGTATTTCTTCAGTGCCTCAACAATGATGCTCCGCTCAGGCCGTAAAAAGCCGTATCAAATGCCTCCCCATGGAAGACAGTCTGTGAACAAGCAATTTCTGCTTACAAATATGAGAACAACTCCTAGAAAGCCAGGTAATTCTTATCTGAGTGACAGGTATGTTTGTAATCTTGAAAAGAATATTCCAACCCAAGGCAAAATCCAGCCAAATTAATCATGTGCTTTTCTATAATGCCGTCAAAAATAAAAGTATTTGGTGAAAAACAGACCCCAAAAGCTACCTTTAAAATAACCAGAAGGGAAATATTCTTAAAATACTGACATTACTGACATTTTCACACCACCATGTTCAGACCAGTAATTCCTAATGTACAAATGTACCTCCCTGGAAAAGAGTGAATGATATAAGCAGACCTGCCAACCATTTTTACTTTGAGCACTGTATTAGTTCTTGTAATTCTAGTTATAAGTAGAATTCTTACACTATAGTTATATAAATATATAAAATATAAAATTTTTTAAAGATTTGCTTTATTGATTATCATAGTTGTACTGTTGCTTTCTAGAACCGCCTATCCTTTTTTACTGGAAGCATGATTGCCGGCTACCTTTGTAGAGAAAACCTTTGTCCAATCATAAATGAGCTATGTATGTGATCAAAGGTCCAACACAGAACCTGCCACCTCTGGAGGGTGTGACTAGGGCTGTCAGAATGTGCATAATCCTTCTCTTTCATTGTGTGTGCCGAGCTTCTGCTCAGGCTAAACAGGATTGAAAGAAAGCTTCTTAGAAACAATGTGGTTTTTTCAGAATATTTGCCTAAATACAGATGTTTTAGAGGAGATATCTCATTTAAAATAAGCAACAGAATTTTCAGTGAAGTCAAGCATTCCTAAAGCATTATGCCACTGCTGATGCATTCTGTGTATCCTGTTGTTTTGCTCGCCTAATTATTCTGGCAAATACAAGATTTTTTATTTTGCAGCATACCCTGGAGGTCTGTGTGATCTCAGAAATGTCTTAACTGCATTTGAAAATATAAAACCTCTTCCAGTAAAACAATGTTCAGCTGAACATAATCCAGACTGTGCTTTATGGTGTTATTCTGCAGGTGTCTGATATTCAAGTGTCTGGACATACATCCTTTGTACATCCAGAACAACACAGTTGTATTCAGGAGTGAAAGGGAATAATTTATCTCCTAGAAGCTTTTAGTTAGAAAGACCTGGGTTTTTTTGTTTTATTTTATTCAGTATGAGATGGCTGACCCCCAGACTAAATGCTGCTATTTTAGGTAGCCATAAACACTCTAACCTGAAAGTCCTGTTTATACCTAGATGCAATATTCAAAATGCAAAACTGGGAAACAGGCAAGTACTTACCTATGAAATACAGGAAACTAGTCTATAAACAATATACAGCAGAGAAACATCCCCTACTTTATCTCTTCTTCATAATGAAACTTCCAACTTTATTTTTCATGCTTCTCCATTTGAAAACTTCTGTGAACAACCTTGCTTTGGCTCAGGCTTCCCACAGAATTCCATTGGCTACTCTTAAGTCTACTCATTCACCAGCTAACTGCAAATGTGGACCCACTCCCCCACATTCACATTCATCCTGTCCCCATTAGTCTTTGGTCTTTTTCAACACAGCTATCTGCATGCTGTCCACCATCCCTTTCCTACACTATTCCTCAGGCTCTTGAGTTGGAAGCTATTTTGTCAAACTCAAGTTTTCACATGTTAACTCTCTGAAAGGTTGAGATACATCTTTCCTGCTTACTGGCATAATCTTCTAAGCAAAGTAATATTTATTTTCCATCTTCAAACCAGTAGCTTACTCTTAAGTAACTTCTAGTATATGTTGGCTATACTGCCCATCATTCAAATATACATAGATTATCAAGTAAAGATTGTTTAAAAAAATGCACTTGTTCTTTTTCTAATGGAACGTCATCATTTCTCTGTTGATAGTAAAATTAATTATAACTCATTTTTTATTAGTGTTCAGCCTGCGAAAAACAGTGAAATGTTACATACTAACTGAAGACTCAAAAACAGTGCATTTTGATATAGATGAAGATGGTCATCATGAAATTTCTACCAAGGATTCACAATCCCATGAAGGTAGTGTTCTTTATGTATCAAAACTCATCAACTGTGTGTGTAGTACTCAGGGCATTTTCAAATGTACTATTGTGTGTCATGTGTCCCTGGGCCCCTCAGTCCAAGAAGGACATTGAGGGGCTGGAGCATGTCCAGGGAAGGGCAGTGGAGCTGGAGAAGGGTCTGGAGCACAAGTCCTGTGAGGAGCAGGTGAGGGAGCTGGGGGTGTTTAGCTTGGAGAAAAAGAGGTTCAGGAGGGACCTTGTCACTGTCTACAGCTGCCTGACAGGAGGGCGTGTCCAGGTGGGGGCCAGACTCTTCTCCCAGGTAACCAGGGAAATAGCCTCTGGTTGTGCCAGGGGAGCTTTAGATTAAATCTTAGGTTAAATTTCTCTATTGCGAGTGCTGACAAGCTTCGGAACAGGCTGCCCCAGGCAGTGTTTGTGCTTCCTCCCTTGTGGGGATTTAGGTGTTTAGTGGTGATTAGGAACATGGTGTACTTGGCAGTGTCAGATTATGGTGGTATTCAATGATCATAATAATCTTTTCCAATCTAAATGATTCTATGATCCTGTTCTCTGTAGATTTAACATATTGGATCTGTATGAACATTGATAATGATACAAGAAAACTTTTAACCTGATTTACCGTAGGTATTTTATATCTTTAAATTATAAGATTATATTGTTCATGCTCATTTGACTTAGCAGGAAGAGAGAAAGGAAAGATAATGCTCAAGAACAAATGCAAAATGCAAGTACATATGAAAAATAGAGATAATAGAGGATATTTTGGAATTTGTGGGTGTATTTTATTTTTCAATGAACTCTTTTGTCTTAAATGGAGCTTCTGTATTTGACACCAAAGATGTTATCATAACTATTATCATGCAAAGATTTGTTAGAGGATATAACTTCGGTAGACTTAAATAATATCAAATGCAATTATTCTAGAATGATGCAATTATTCTAGAATAGTACCATTTCCAGACATGTGAAAGTAGGCAAAAAAAACCCAATAAAATGTATTTTTAACCAAAATAGAGGAAAAATTTGAAATATTTACGTTAGTTATTCAGTTATGAAAACTTTTATTATATTAAATTGAGGATTATGATAGCTACACTGATAGGGTACTTAAGTGTGTTTTATACCTTTTCCAGTATCTTTTCCTGGATAACTCCATCAAATTTTGAAGTCACTCAGGCAATTATTATTGTTAATTTATTAAGAGAACCAAAACACGTGTAGGTATATAATGGAAGCAGTTTGTCAACAGATACTTAGTCTGACAAGCCTGATGTACAAGATAGTGATATTCCTAGAAGATAAAAAAAAAAAAAAAGGGAATGCTGTGTAATATTATTGTGTACAGAATCACCACCAACATACATTCATGATGCAGTTAAGACAGCATAATATTAGGAACCAGTTGTAACCAGGATGTTTGTGACATTTTTACCTGAAGTGGGTGATGTTTTCCCTGGGTGACTGGCTATGTGATTTAGGCTGATGCTAGAAAAGCCATAAACCACCTGCTACTGTTACCTGTTGCCTTCCAATCCCATATATTTCATATTAAATTCATATTATATTCATATAATTCATATGTTTTCACTTTCATTGCCATAGCACTCCAGGCTCCTCTTTAATAGCATACTAGACTTTACAGCTGGTCACCAACCTCGTTTTTCAGGTGCATTCTCTATTGCAAAAGATAATTAAGCAATCAATACACTTTTTAGGCTCAGCGTTCAGACTTCAGGATACCTGTTCACAAGTCTAACTGTACAGCATTTCAGGGTTAAATTAATTCAGAGACCCTCAAGAAAATAAATCTGATGTCTGTTGCTATTATACACTTTTTCTCAGATTATGTCTCAAAACAATTCTTTAATTTTTTTGTATTATTTTTAAATCTGAGGAATGTAGCTCTCTAATTCCACTTATTTGTTAAATACCTTCTATTTTAGATATTGCATGGTTAAGCGTGTTCACAAGAAATGAAGCAGCAGTTACTGAGAAGCCTCTTGGGGGAAAAAAAGGTATAATCTCTCTGTTAGGGTCTGGTTTTGAAGATACATTTGAGAGCAGGAAAATAAGGTAGTAATGATTTACACATAGACTTGACATTAGAAGTAACATATTATATCAGATTTTTCCCTTAGCTCAGTTTACTGGACAGGTCTAAAAATAAAAGAGCCTTTCTATGTTCCATAAGAAGAAATCTTCAAAGTTACTATTGATAAATTAGGAGTAGTGGCTTGGACTGAACACAAATGTATATAACGTAAACCAACTGTAATATGCAATTTTTTTTGGTAGACAAGTGTGGGTGTTCCATTGCTGGCATATGAGTCTTAACTAGCAAAGACCTGTTTCAGCAGGAGAGGAAAACTAAAAAGAAATTAATATGAAGAAAGGGGAGGCACACTACTTGAACTTTCACATGGTACACTAAAGTAATGATTGCAAAAATCAAAGGTATATTAGCTCAGATATTACAGTGGAAGAAAAATATACTCTAATTTCAGTCATCAAGGGCTCCTGTAGCCATTGAGGACAAATACCCATCTGGTAAGGTTTTAGTGACCAGAGAGTCAGCTAATTAATTCAAAAGCCATCAGATAATTAAAGTATCACTGATAACAGTCACGGAAAGAGTCCTTATTTTCCTTGCTGTTCTCTGGCTGCCTAATAGACCACTTGTCACATCTTTTAGTGGTGGTAGAGGAAGTTGGGTTGCTTTAGACTTACTCAGACTAAACAATGTATAAGCACGTCATAATAAACACTATAGATGGAGGAAGACAAGGATAGTTAGGATGTAAGTCATGTTGATGGATGTCCCTGGTCATCTGGGTGGACACCTGCGTGCCTCTTTTGTTGTCATTCTTACCATCAAGACAGAGCACTCTTGACTTGAATAAGAAACCTCTTTTGCCTGTTGATATGTCTCTTAAATGCTGCAATTGGACAATTGCAGCTGAGGCAATCTAAGGTGATGTCACAAAAATTAAAAATGACAGAATTGTGTACCTACAGTCTACTATATTTATTTGAATACTCATGTAAACTGAATAAAGTTTAGGCTAGAGAGTTTTTCTCAATTTTTAACAAGGATTTTTATATTATTTTTATACTATAGATGTCTCAAAAAATCCTTCAGAAGAATAATACAAAAAGTATTACAGTTAAGGAAAGTTAAGGCAACTAAAATCAGGGCCAAGAGCAGCTAAAATTAGTCAAATGGGATGAATATGTTCTGCTAATTCTGAATATCCTTCAGAGGCTAAAAAGTGCCTTTGGTAATATGTAAAAGAACTCCAAACTCCTAAACTGCAAGTATTAATGCATAGTAATCTAATGTCTTTTACATTTGTATTCAGTTGCTGCAGTGTTAAGCATATAGATCAACTGCTGCTTTCTTTTACATATTTTTTACTTTAAATGGTACATTTGAGATACTTTTAAAAGCACAAGTGATATTTTTTAAATTAAGTTTGCATGTCAGTCAGATAGGTATAGCATCACTGAGTAGATATTAATGCGATGGGTTTTGCTAGGTAGTGCTGTATCAGTTGGCTGTATCAGTTATTTACTTTTTGCTGAGGCCTTGAAGTACCAGAAGGTAACAATGAACATTGTCAGTTTATCAGGCTGAAGAATGTCCTGTAGTATTGATATTGTCTTGCTTCCTGCAGCCGAAAAATCAGTACTAGCTCAAAAATTGAATCAATCCAATGCATCCACAATATGATAGTAAAAGGATTTTGATCTAGAAACATGCAGAAAATAAAAGGGAAAAAATGCTACATTTTCCATATTGACATACACATAGTCAGGTGTATACCATAAAAATGTTTATTACACATGTGTTATCTACTACTACCTATGCCTTTGTAGTTCATATGACATGTAATAATACATAACTGATATTTCATACATTCAGCATAAAAGTAGAAGAATAAACTATATATATTGCAAATTAAAGTCTCACTGTCACAGTCTTCAAATACTTTAGACAAGAGAATGGTGTCAAGACTGATTGTATTTATTTCTAATCTTACGCCTATAAATGATGTTTTCTCTTTGTAGAGCATATTCAGCTCTTCTTCATTTTATAAAGTGATATTCACATTATTACAATATTCTCCTCTGTGTAAAACAGATTCTAAAAATTTGGTGATCCTCACACAGAGATCAAAGCTTAATGAATTTGTCCTGTTGTGCAAGGGTAAGAAGCAGCTCTCTCTGAAGGTAAGAAGTTGCTTATTTTCTTTATAACTTGTGGGTGCTCTCTCTTACAATAAGACAACTTCACGCACAGACCTTTTTCAAATTCACTTTACTTACCACCTTCCACATTTCATAACTTCTGAGCATGTCCCTTTATTTTTTCTTGGGAAATACTCAGGGAAGTTTATTGCAAAAATTTTTGGGCTGGGTAGTTGACTACTGCCACTAGAAGACAGCCAAGGATATTGGGGTCTAGTCTCTGCAGAGGAAGAGGGAGCTTCTTAGCCAGAAAACATGCAGGAAAAATAAGAGGGGAGTAAAAAGCAGGAATCTTGCCTTGGAAAGAAATAAGTTTAAGATGGAAATTATTTTCTCCCAATCAACATGCATCACAGGATAAGGAATGTGATGAAAATAAAACACAGCTGAACATCCTGTTTTAAACATTTGCCGTCTGGTGTCTGAGCACTCCCATTTTCTCCAGTCTTGTCAGGGCTTATTTCTGATAGGAAGAGAAAGCAAGACTAGTATTCTCCAGTGAAGGATTATCATTTCTAAAATCTGTCTGAGTAAGAATGCTATGTTGCAATTTACTGTCTAAAACAGAGCAAAGGTCCAAGAAGCTCTGTTTACACAGAGATAAAGAATAACCCTTCATCTAATGTCAGCCATGCGTGGATAATGTGAAACACCAAATGCTTCCTCAAAAAGTCCCGGATGTTTTTCATTTGTTTTTAACTCATAAATGACTCTCCATAAAATATATTTCCTGAACTTTTCTAGGGAAATGTATGTTGTAAGATAGATAAATTATATTTATACCCTATTACCCACAGAAAGGGATTTTCCTTTCTTTCCCTGAAAAAGAACTACTTTAAAAGGATTTTTCTGGTTCAGAGGTTGCCTTTTCATAGATCAATTGTTTGAAGAGTGTCCCACCAAATCAAGAAAAGAACTGAGTGTTGAGTCTTAATGGATTTTACTTTCCAATGAACTATTTCAAAATTCCAGGTCATACCAGATTATGTTTCTTGACATAATTGAAAGCAGCTCTTATTTGAAGATGAAATAAGACATACTTAGTTGCCGAATTAAATTACAAATAACAAATCTGTGTGTTGTAAACACAGGTCTTAAAAGCATCCTGTTCAGAACCAGATTATTCTTCAATGGAGAGATGCAATATGAAAACATGCAGCCATGAAGACCCTGACTTTAAACAGGTATGCAATCATGATCAAACAAATAAAAACCTGTGTGTGAGACTCTGTATGCAAATACAGGTGTCTAAAAAGAGCAGCTAAATTTATCCTGTTACTCATTAAGTGACAAATTGCGTACTTTTCTTTCAGCTGTTTTTTTGTATGTTTCTCAGAAAAAGAAAAATAAGAAATTTTCCCTTGACTTGTATTTAAGACTACAACCTTCAATCTCCAGGCAAAATATCTGACTTTCAATTAAAACATGAAAGGTGGATATGTTTCCTGCATTATTACTCTTATACAAAATGGAGGGAGATGCAAAGTAGATTTTATCTGGTACAAATTCTTAGGCAAGATGTAGAAAATATGGTTGAGTACATTAGCAGATCTAGAAGGACCAGATTACAAAAGTTATGATTTTTAAAGAACTAATGAATCCATCATTCATAAACTTCTGGGAAATAATAAAACCCTGACATATTTTCAGACTGAATTTCTTATCATCAGATGATTATAAATCAGGAGTAATGCATTGTGGACAGAAATACAGACGGCTCAGTGGTTTCGTAATATGTTTTTGTGACAAAAGATTGGTTTTGTTGGCTCTTCTCTAGATGTAAATGATAAAACATAGTAGGCACATGAAGGAAATTAGTTGCTCTTTGGAATACCTAAACTTTAGGACAATAAACATTAGAACCTAGACAAAATGCAAAACTAAGGAAAGGATTTTATTAGGATTGTAACCCCATGAGTTTGCTATTCAACTGAAAAGACAATCTTTCCAATTTCCATAGGCAAAATTAGAGCTATCTGGACCCAGGTAGTTTCAGAACTTCACAAGCAGGACTATGAAACCCTGAAAACCTGAAATTCCCAGCCTGAAATTTCTAAAATGTTAACCTTTCTCCTAAATCAGAAAGTATTGAATTAACAATTCTGGTAAATTGAAGTCTATCTGAAATGGTTTTCAAAAAGTATGAACTACACTACTAATAATTAATGAACAAATCTCCTGCATTCTGGGCCTGGAAAATCTAAGTGGGTCCTTCAGTTTCAGTTCTTCTGAGTTACTCATCTTCCACTAGTATTCCTCGGCTCCACACAGAAGGAGAAAGCTTAAGAAACTTTTAATGCAACTTTTGGTCCCCTCCTTGTATGCTGTAAACTATTACAGTCATATTGAATCTTGCAAATTGTATTTAATACACTTTGTTTTCATACACTTTTCTAAACATAAAAATACATCCTTTTCTGTGGCGCTTCACAAAGACTTAAGTGTCTTTAAGCCTGCAAGTTTTGGGAGACATCTGGAAAGAGCTGTAACAATTGCCTGCAGAGAGCTATATATTGCTTTGGGGTTTTAAACATAGTTAAAATGAAAAATTCTTTCTGGGAACCCATTCATTACTTAACAAGACAGATAGTATTCTGCTCATCATGGTTTCTTGCTGATTCCCTGAAATAGAAGAAAAAATGTTGCTTATTTGTATGAGGAGAAATCAGAAGCCTGCACTTGAACCACATCCAGTTGGGCTGAGAGGCAAAATCATAGACAACTCTGAATCATGAGATTCTTAATAAACCTTCTAAAATGAGTGTACTGATCAGTAAATAATTTCTAGTGTAATGAATAATGCCTGCATTGTCCTTAGGATGAGAAAGCGTGGGAGTGGTATGGAGAAATACGTCTTATGGATAATGACAAAGCTATCCAGGGCTGCAATGTGATATTTAATCTACTAGCTTTGAAAAGTAAATCTTAAGGACAGGCACTTTCCTTTTTTCTATTTGAAGACTGCCAGCAGAATTTGCAGAAACATGAGAATCTGTGTACCCTATTGTTATACCAGGAAGAGTTGCATATACTGCTGTAAACATTAATTTCTGTTACCAAGGCTATCGAAACAGGGTTCACAATCAATATTAATTGAAATGTCTTTTATTAAATTTAATGAAAAATATTAATTAGATTGTAATAGCAATTTTTTTTTATTACAGTAAGTAATAGTTTACAATAACATCTGCTTCTGATTGGAGATTAAGTCAGAAAGGCAACACAGGTGATAACCAATATTTATTGTAATCCTTTTCTGGAATGGGAAAACTATACTGTAGACACAACTATGGCCTCACACAGTTCACAGAGTGGCAGCATCCCAGCCAGAGCAGTAGTGGAAAAGCTAACCCCAGCAGTTCACTCAGGAGCATTTACTTATAACTGTCATTATTTTAACTCTATAATAGAGCATGCTTATCATAATTAATAATATCATGGAAGAAAATGAAGTTAACCACACAACAGCATGATCTCAGAGCTACAGAACAGTATTTCCCTTTAGATTGTCCACTTAAAAGGTTTTCCCAGTTTCCCTATTCCTTACACATAATTCTCCCAGTAGGTAAGACAGCTCTAGTTTTACCATTTGCATTAATTATGTGTAAATTTTTACTATTTCTCTTTTTTAATCTTCCAGAAGGGCAGAAATTAGTAAATATATAATGGTTATCAAAGAAATACACATCTTCTTCAGTACATATCTGTAGTATCTCACTTTAGTGTAACTTCTGTTCTGGTTCAATTATAATATTTTACTATTCTTGACCCATTACTACTCTCAGACTTTAGCAGATGCATTCTTTATCCTCTCAGCCTTTCTTATGTACTAGTAGCACTCAATTTCCCCTCAGTTTCAAACCTTCACGAGTTAACATATTTGCTTAAAAGAATATTAAAAGACAGTATTCAACAATTTCAGTTGCTGGATCTGGCTGCTTCTCAAGTTGTTGTTCCTTGCTGGATAATGCAAGGTTATTAGGTGATTGTATCTGGACAGCATATTGCAAAGTTTTGACTGGAATGCCGCAGCCTGGGTGGACTGGGACCTGAAGGACTGCAGCTGTAAAAGTTCTATTAAGAGCTGTAACAGTTTTTATTCCACAGTCCTCTTTATTTTACTGAGTAGTTTAATGAAGATACGCAAGAGAGAGGTTATACCAGTGGCTATGCCGTCATAAAAGATTTTATTAAGAAATTTACTCTTTAGTCCAGTTAAGTAGGCCAAAATAAACTCTAACCAGGTAAAATCTGATGAAGCCCACAAAGATACCTTGGTTCTGAAGTTTTGACCTTGTAGTGACAATTCAGTGTTTACTGTGCTTGGAGCAGGCTGGCAGGAGCACAGTCCTTCTTGGCACCCAGCATGCAGCTTGAGATTTTGAGGTTTTTTGCTCCTAAAGTTGATTCATCTTTTGAAAACCCAAGGAGAGATCAGCAAACCTCACTCACCATCCAGTAGTCACGTATGGCCAGTGTAGAAGTCTGATGGAGGGTGAAAATGGGCTGTTCTGGGCTGAACAAAGGCACACCACCATTGAGGACTGCTCTATCAGAGATCCAACACCTTTGATACAAATGGAATCAAAGGTGACAGAGTGAATGCTACAGCTGGTGTTGCCAAAGCAATTTTCTTGATCACTTTGGCAGCAGTAATGCAGGCCAAAGTTTACTTTCAATGGAGGCATGTCCAATACACCTGGAGCCGACTGACCTCGGGCTGGAAGCACAGCCCTACCATTTGTCAGGACAGGACCAGCTGTGGTAAAATTATACACTGAGGTGTGTTGCTACAACCAGCATCCAAGCTTCTGCCCCACATATTCATGCAGACCCACTCCCTACCAGTGGACAGGGGAGAGAATATGTGAGAAAGAACACCTCGTTTATTATAATTTTAAAAGGCTTATTGAACCACAATAAGGGATTGAATAAGGGAAAAGGAACGGTGCTGGGTGCCTAGCTGCCACCAGAGCACACCACCACACTCGTAACAAACCTTTCATATGCTATTGACAAGCCGACCCCTGCTAATCCAATCCTCTCACATTCCTGCAGATGCTACTCTTCCCACCCAGCTCCTCCGTTGTCCTACCTCTCGGAGTCCTTGCAGCCCTTCTTCCTTCGAGTTTCCCAGTGGTCAGAGATCAACTTTCAACATTACAAAGCTTATGTGGCAAAACACCAGATCTTAACAGAACATCTTTTAACCTTATAACATATCAACATGGCAAGAGCCAGCATCACACTATCTGTTTATTACAGATTATCAAGAGCAAAAGTAAGAAAACTTTTGAGTTAAGAAGAAAACTCAAAAGTAAAATATATGAGGGTCAGAAAAAACCACAAGTGATGCAAAAGCATTTACTCATTTCCTCCCATAAGTAGACCAATGCCCAGCCAGTCTCTGAGCAGTAGTTTTCTCAGAAGCAAACACCCATCTCCCAACCCTGCATTCTTCATCCTCTACACCAAGTTTTATGACTGGCCATGATATCCATGGCATAGAGGATGTGTTTGGCTGCTCTGAGACAATTGTCCCGGATATGTTCATTTCCAGCCTCTTGCCCATCCCCACCTACACACTGAGGCTGTGGGAAGAAAGAGAAGCTTATGTTGTTGTGCACTGCACAACTGCAGCCAAAATTTTCGCTGGTGTTTCATCAACCCTGTTTTAGCCACAAACCACGTAACTACTTTGTAATGCCTTCCAAGGTCTGTAACTTCTCCAATGCAATCGAGGTGGCAGCTCAGCTTTACTAGTTTCCTTATCATCATTGTACAACTCATGTGTCTCTTTGATCACGTGTTCATTTCCTTTCTTTATCTAAAGCAAAACGTAAATTCCAGTGTGCCCTATACTCCTTTGGGTAACATATCATAACAACACAAAATGTTCTGTTTCACCTGGCCTTCAAATCCATTTCTTTTTATTTTGTAGTTTCTTCCTAGGTTAGAGTGTAGCACTTGCACCTATCTTGGAGTAGTGTTCATTGTGCCATATCCGATCTGACTTTCTGCAACGTTGAGTCTATTTTAAAACTTGCATACTACTCTTTCACATCTTTTTCTGTAGTTCCCATCACTGACATGTTTTACTTTGGCAAATGAAGACAATATTTGTAGCATTTTTCTGACATGAGCATAGGTGCATTGTGAATCACCTGTGGGACATGAATAAAGATGTAATTTTTTGCCATTAATTGTGAAACCTAAGCTGTAAATTGGTCCTTCATTTAATGCAACAGAAAACAAATTATCAGATTGTAACTAAAAATCAGTAGCTTTTTTCCTGGAACTTGCAAATTATTTTGACTGCTACTATAGAAACTGCTCAGGAGGAACTTTATCTGGCAGCAATCCACCACATTCTCCAGGCTTTCTCATCATCCTTTTTTACAGGTCATAATAGAAAATCACCTCTGCCATGATTTCTTGCAAAACATTTTGTTCTTTAATAACCTCTGCATCTCCCAGCCCTAATGGTATTTCGTTATGCTTCTACTCCAAGTTCTTCTTCCTTCTCACAGTCACACAATGTCATTCTCCAAATCGTTTTCCTCTTACAGTTTTCCATCTAATTTTCCATCATTTCATACAAGTACAGTAGGAATTTTTAAATTTCTGGATCCCAATCTGCTTTTGCAAGCATATTATTTTTGTTTTACAAGATCTCATTGGAATCTCCCTTGCTCTAGCACGAATTTCTGCATTGTACATAAGAATCTCTTTCATTGCTTCTACTGGTTTTCTTTCACCAAGCATTCTTAGTCCTTTTATGTTTACTTTTTACCATTCTGAGTCCCTAGAAGGTATTTGTTTCCCAAAGACAAATTTTCTTCAACTTTCTTAAGAGTATTTTTTTAAAAGACTTTTTGGATTGAATCTGCATATATACTGTTTTTACATTGACTTGATCAGGACAGAATGTTCTAGCTGCTTCCCATTATAGCTTTGCTGAAAACAGAAGGTGTATCCTCAAGTTTCCTTGAGGTACTCTGCAATAGCTGCTGGATATTTATTTTCCTGTTGTCATACGGGCTTAATGAACACATTACTCCCTCTGTCAAAAGGTGATTATTGCCAGTGTTGTAATCTCCAGCAAGCTGGTACCCTGAAATGTGCTCCTGCTTTTCCTCAGGAATTCTGTTTCTTTTTAGAGGTCCCCTTAAGCAATGATAATACACCAGACTAGTCAGAGTTACAGAACTGTCTCATGGGCAGAATAAGAGTGTTCAACAAGGTCACTTAAAAGGAAAGTTTAAATAATTTGATTATGATATGTTCAGTCTTTCCCAAAAGATACTATATATTCCCTGCTCTATGGCAGGAGGCTGAGCTGGGGCAAACATGAATCTCAACCCTCTGTTAATTAATGACTTACTATTAGCATCAGATAACTATTCACACAGTGTTCTCAGTTTCTCCTTTGCTCGGTGCACACAGGCAGGAGCAGGGGCTCATTCCAGCGGCCTCTAAGCAGCTGTGCCAGGCATATCTGGGGTCCTGGTTTCTGCAGCTGTGCTCACACATACTGCCCTGTAATCTTTGTCCAGCTAAAGCAGTCGCTGCTCCCTTGGATGTGGTGTGAGTTCACAACCTGTGGCAGGCGCTGGAGGAGAGCTGGAGACCATGGGCAGGTTCAGCAGCCCTTTGGTGCCCCGAGCTTACCAGTTTCTGCAGATTTCAGCACATACTCTTCCTTTCCCTGGCGTGATTATTTCGTAGCTCTTTCTCCATCCCCACCCTGAGGGGGCTAGTGAGCCCAAACACACACTCACATACACACTCTAAAGAGGAGCTCTTTGGACAATAGCTATTGCTCCAGAGATGGATCTTTTTTTAAAAGTGCATTGGAAACTAGAGTTATACAGAAAAGCCATAGGTAATAGAACAATTGTTTACGAGTAATTTCTACCGTAACATTATTTTACTTAGAAAGAGGCAAGAAAAACCGTGGATTGACATTTTTTTGCTAGTGGCTGTTGACAGGGTAGGCCTAAAATAAGAAAATAACCAGATGAAAAACCTAAGTTATCATAATGACGCTGGGGAAACCATGGTGGTGTTTTTGTGAAGCAAAGGAATGCATCTATTCAGTTCTGTATTACTCGGTCTTTTCAGGGAGATGAATATTATTTTATTCATGGTTATCACAGAATCTATCCCAAAATAAAAAGTTATTGCCTAAGGTTTATTTAAAAATTGGTAAATATGTGTCATTGGAGAAAAGCATGACCAGCATAAAATATAACAAACCAACAACATACATGAATTTTTGTCACATTTAGCATTATAGAATGGCATTAGAAATATAACCTATTTTTTACTTTGTGTATTTTCATAGTTGAGTGGAGATAATAACTTTTTCATCATGCATTACCAAGGAGATTCAGTGCAGTTCCAATGCTATGAAGACAGAAGTTACTACCTGTGTGTGAAGGACGACTCACTTGATATTCGCAAGCTGGAAAACAAAGATCCCAACAAGGACAAAAATTTTTACTTCAGGGTGTCATATTTACAGGAAAAGTAGCTCGTCTGCCTTTCAGTGGCCTAAGTGCCCACACAGCTCCTAAGAAGATGCAGAAGTTTCAGATCAACTAATTTCTGTTTGAGCAAAATTCTTACATTTTCATAATTTCTAAATCATCAACGTCCTTTATTTATGCACATTCAGTAGCAAAAGAGTAAGGCCAAGTTTGAAAAACATACTACAAAACATACTACAAAAACAAACTAATCAGTCTCTGTGTCCTACCTACACAATTATGTTTTTAAGGAAACAAAATATCTGGTGTGAGAAAACATACTGGGGATATTTTAAAAATGGCAACACTAAGGAACATATATGAATACTATCATAAAATGTGCCATTAGTTCTTCGTGTGGTAAACATTTTACTTTTTAAAAACTGTCTCTTATAAGCTCACTTGAATGTGACAAGCAAACTTTTAGAAGTTCTTAAATGCATCTGTGCGTATCCTGACTGACTGACTTGGAGAAAGAGGTAAGAAAGGTGTCTCTCTAAGGATAAGGGAAGATGCTGGAAGCTAGAAGATGTCTGTAGCTCAAACTCAGCCCATGCAGTCCTTTGTGAAATTTCAGCATCTCTCCAGCATGGCAGCTCTCTAAGAAAATGCACACAGAGCATCAGGTACACAACGTGCAGGCAGAGGAAGGGAGACACATTGAACTGATGGGCCATAACAGATGCCTGCAAATATAGCAGAAAATTGCTCTCACATATTGGCTTCCACTTCTGAGTCATAGAGAAAAATGCAGTCACGTGTTCAATTGCAAAGCAGAGTGCAGAACAACATCAGAAAAATAATAATGTTCAAAATTACTGAATAAAATAAACACTATGTGGACACTGGAGGAGACATAAGAGTACCTACCTTTGAGCAGCAGGATCTTTCAGTGTCAAATGGAAGATGTTGATAGGTAAATGTCCGTAGACCATACCCTGCAAAGAAAACCTGTTTGAAATACATGAGAAAACAACTCGGAAGTTATCAGGGTCACTAGGTGTTAAAGATCTGATTCTTCATTGCTGTGCATGGAATTCCACTCTGATTTAGTTGCCATTTTCTTTGAAGCAAGTAATTTGGGACTGTTTGTGTATAAATTATAGACATGATGCACCTGTGCCAAGAGATGCTGCCTGCAAGATAACACAACACTAGCAAGAATAGTCCTGTGTAAGTATAATAAACAATACACTCCTGAGATAGGAATCCTATCATCAGTCAGTTGATCATCCCAATGCACCTTGCAAAAAGGCAATTTTCTGCTGTAAACTAAATTCCAAAGATCTATGAGACTTTAAAAGCTTTCATGGCTTGCTTGTTGCATTCTTCAAATAGTGAAAATCTTTATGTTGGTTAAAATGCTCATGGAAGAGAGCTTTTAAGTAAATAATACTTACAACTTCTGGACTAGCCAAGAGTTCAATAAAGTTAGTGTGAAATAAAAAAAACACCAAAACTCTAGATATTAATTTCAGCATTTATTACACTAGAATCAAGTTATTTTAGCACTACTTAAGATGTTGCACAAGAAATAGATTCTGTTATGTAGTAAGATTTCACTATCATTACTTTCACTATCTAATACACTAACACTTCATAGTCATACATTTATTATGGGTAGTGTAATCACCTCACTAAATTATAGAATGGGCTAGAAGGCAAGTTGATGAAAAGATGACAGGTCACCATAAAGCTTGTACAGAGCATATTAATTAAATCAGCATTGCTGATATCACCACAAAAGTAACATTTACCTCAGTTAAATTTGAATCTGGCTTATGGTTAAAGTTTTAATTATGGTTATATGCAGAATTTTGTTATTTTTCCCTCTTAATTTTTTTTTAACAATTCAAGGGAAAATAAGCCCTTATGGAAAACAAGAGTGGTAATTTGGTAAAATTTCAGATTTGATATCTAAGACAGTAATATCATTTGACTTCTTTTCTCATAAAATACGGTAAAATCAGTAAAATCAGGCGACTTTGTTACTCTAAATGTACATAGTAAAGCAACTAAAAATTCTCTAATCTTTGCTGGAATCTTATTTTGATCATAAAATCTCTTCAAACTGACATTTTCCAATTCCCACCAATCTAAGTATCTTGTGAGTGGCAGATAAGTTTTTATTACATGAGAGGGAAATCATATAGAAATTTTATTTTAAAATAAAAAATGATAGCCAGTTAACTTTTAGAAAAATACAGTTTCTAACACTTTACAATAAAAAACTCCAATGTATCTAACATTTGAATATTAAATATAATTAGTATTTTGCTGTCAAAACCAACAATGATATTATTTAACCTTCATTTAACAGATGTGATAATTATTAAAAACCAGTATAGGTATTTTGCTCTTGTATTTCTGCCCTTCTAAAGCTGGGCCTTAAAGAAAGTACTGCATTTTGTGTGCTTAGACCAATGTAATGCAAGTATTCTTCATATATAACTTCTAGTATTTTGACCACGTTTGTGACTTTCCACAATAAAACCTGTGAGAAAAACTACAATAAATGTAAAGCACATGATCCTTCTCTGTGTTACATGCACTCCCTTCATTATAGGGAGCCAAATGAACTAGAAACTGGAATTAGGAATTGTCATTTTTCTTGCCTTTATTTGACATTTTCAAGGTTATACCTGAATGTGATGGTGTGTCCCCACTTCCCCCCTTTCTGCTCGAGCAAAGGTCACCAGTGATGTTTGTGGTGCATCTGACTGATAGATACAATAGCTCAGGGCCATAACTCTTGCTCAGCAGCCAGGGGCCACAATTCTTGTTCAACATTCAGTAGACACTGAATGTCTCTACTAAACAAATTATTACAATCTCAAGTTGGTGCAATTGCAATACTGCTATAACTTGTAAGCAATCCAAATTAAGCAGTTTCAGTTAAGGATCTTCAGTAACACAATATCTCAGTAGTAGAACTCATTTATGACTCTTCTCTGGTGTTAAATTCTCACCTTGTACTCACAATCTGATGTTAAGGGTTCTTTTCTCTTAGACAGGATGATGTGGTCAGGATGCCATCATGATAAATACAATACATGTGTGTCTTGTAGTTCCCAGCTGATTTAAACAGAAGTGTACTCTGCCTTGAGTGTTGCTACTTTTACATATACATGGTATGAATTTTGAAGTTGTATATAAACAGACATTATTTTAGTGTCAGTTTGGTTTTGATTCTGCTTGTCCACAATTTGTCTAACCAAAGAAATCATAGTTTGTGTGCTTTAAATACCACTCCTCATATTCCCTGTTCATACAAAGGGACGGCAGAGAAGAAGATTCGCTACCAACCCCTCCCTTCATTCATTCTGGCAAATTACATGGCTAACTGATGCCCAGAAACAATTGCTATTGTACAGCTCCTTGAAGTCATCCATCTCTAGCACCATCTCGTGGTGTGCTGTAGACTTCTAACCACATTTTATTACATCAGCAAGCTATAGAAAGTTCTCATTAGCTAAAAACAAAACACATATTTCTTTCTCCAAACCTCACTATTAATTTCCAGGTTACGTAGAGACTAGATCTCCTGTGTCTGGAATGACTACAGGCTGCAGAGTAGCAGGTCAAGGAAAGAAAACTTTCCCCCTTATTTGGTATTTTCAAGACTATATGATGGTGTGCCCCCACAAATATCATAACAGTGTTATAAACTAAGAGATCTGATTGACCTTGCTGCCCGTACTGCCTAAATTTCACAAGCTGCAAAAATTACTATCAGAAAAATTAATTTCCTGTAATAAATGTATTTTTCCCATATAGATGTCAAAGTTGGGGCCAAATATAGGCATGATGCTTTCTTAAACATTAAGATTACCATTTTAGGCACTGTATCAGCAAACCTGATATTTTCACTGCTTTCTCATAAAAATATTTACAAAGAGAAAGCCACAAGATTTTCAGTATTCTGGTGAAGTTGTTGGTGTAGCAGGCTTCAAGCCTGGTGTCAAAGCAGGTAACAGAAACAATTAACAGACTTTGATAAGAAAAATGAAATTGTTATTTAATACATCTTTCCCACCAGTTTATTGACAAAGGGATTCTAAGGTGTTTTACAGAGACTAAATATGAGAAGTACATGAAAAAATGGGACAAGGAAGTCTAAAAAAAGGATCGTAATTAGAGAGAAAAAACAGTAAAGAATTTTTTCTTGATATCCAATCTACACTTATTGGGTTTAATTTTGAAGTTATTGCCCTTGTCCTATCACTAGATACTCTTATTAAATAAAAAACCAAAAACCAAAAACCAACCAACCAAACAAAAAACCAACAAAAAACCACACAACAAACAAACAAACAAAAAAACCCCGGAAAACAAACAAAACAAAAAACCCTCTCCAAGTTCCTTGTAGGTTCCCTTTAGGTACTAGAAGGTTGCAATTCATCTTCCCTGAAGGTTCCTCTTTGCGTAGCTGAATAAACTCGATTCTCTCAACTTCCTCATAGGAGTGGTGCTCCAGCCCTCTGTCATCTTGATGGCCTTCTCTGGACTCACTCCAACTGTTCCATGTCCTTCCTGTGCTGGGAGCCCAGAGCTGGATGCAGCCCTGCAGGTGGGGTCTCAGCAGAGCAGAGGGGCAGAATCCCCTCCCTCCCCTGCTGCCCACACTGCTCTGGACGCAACCCAGGACACGTTTGGCTTTCTGGGCTGTGAGTGCCCATGGCTGGGTCATGTCCAGCCTCTCATCCACCCCCAAGTCCTTCTGGGCAGGGCTGCTCTAATCTCCAAGAGATCTCTAATCTCTGCTCTTCATGCCCAGCCTGGGCTGATACCAGGAGCTGCACCAACCCAGGTGCAGCACCGTGCACTGGGTTTTGTGTCATAGTTTAATCCCAGCCAGCAGCCAATCTCTCACAGCCTCTCACTCACTCTCCCACGAGTGGGACTGGGGAGAGAATGAGAAGGGTAAAAGCTGAAGAGCTCAGGGGTTGAAATAAAAACAGTTTAAAAGGGAAAGCAAAAGCCACACGCACAAGCAAAGTAAAACATGGAATTAATTCAGGGCTTCCCATGGCTGGCAGGTGTTCAGCCATCTCCAGGAGAGCAGGGCCCCATCACACATAAATGGTGACTTGGGAAGACAAACACCATTGCTCCTAATGCCTCCCTCTTTCTCCTTCTTCATCCCACTTTATATACTGAGCTTGGTGCCACAGGGACTGGAATATCCCTTTGGTCAGTTGGGGTCACCTG